ACCCCCACCCCCACCCCCACCCAAAGTCACAGAGTTTAGTTTAGAAATAACCACACAAGACAAAAATGGCATTATGTAATGTTGCCTAACTACAGAATACTCACAGGACGTGATTCAGACATAAGAAATCTATAGAAGGAATAAAATTGCATGCTAGGTTCCATTAAATACATTTCAGTTACTCCCCCTTTTACCTTTCATTGAATGTAGAAACATGTGCGTGTCAGTGGTTTTAATTGACTATGCGCAATCAAAATAAGAAGAAAAATGCAGAGATCCACATCCTGTTTTCTAAAAATACATGTTCTGCCTGGAAACAACAAGGCTTCCCAATTAAGATTTTACGTGGCAGTGTATCTTTGGTAAGTTTAGGAAGGCAGGCATGGTTAGTCTCTGTATCTGAGCCATCTCAGCTGCTGTGTCAGTCTCATTTCTCATATAACCCACTGGCACACACACATACTGTCAAGCATATAATCACACACTCGGAAAGCCTATTTATACCTCATAACAGAATTATCCAGCTTTACAAGACATCCCATAATGACACCAGAGAAAAAGACAAAATCATCGTTTGTGTTTACTGCATTCAAAAACTGTGTTGAGACAGAATAAATACATATGTTAAATATGAGGGTCTTATGTGTGGGAACAAAAATGTTTGAATAATGAAAAAGAGTTACATAAGATACAAAACAAATTTAATGGTGGAGTCAATTTATTGCATATATGAACTCAGCAAAAATGCAAGCTCCATAAACATTTCATTATATAAAAAAAACTCACATCCATGTGATGAATAAAGACACACCCTGAGAACTATTAAGTAAAAAGAGAACTTCCTTAAATGGTAAATATAACGCAATCACTTTTGAATCATTTTCATTCCCATAAAAAGTGTGACCATTTTCAGTTTCACATAATTATGATTCATGTCACTCAATTAAAAGATCTAGAAAGAACATGCTTACATATTATATACACAATACATCCTATATCCACTATATTACAATATAAAATCTTATAAGATTGTAACATATTGAACTGGAAGGACACGGAATCAAATATTATGTGGTGTAGTAGAGGCTCTGAGGCTAGGGATCTGTGTCAGTAATTGGAAGGTTGCTGGTTCAAATCCCATGAATGCCCTTAGTGATCCTACTCCGTTGGGCCCTTGAGCAAGACCCTTAACCTGCAATTGCTCATTCCTGGGTATGATGTTAATCTACATCCAGCCCTATAAGGAGGTCCTACAACTTACAGAGAAAAACTTGTTGGTTGGTGGCAGGATTGACACTCCAGCTATTTCCCAGCTACTGGGAAAATAATTCACACTGGTCTATTTGGACTAGTGTAGTGCTGAGATATCACTCGCCACATGGCTGCACTCAGGTTCTCATCCCTGAGGTGGTTTGTTGTGCGGCAACGCACTGTAATCAGTGCATGCTCATTACGCACTGTAATCAGTGCATGCTCCTTACCTAATATGCTTGAATCGTTACACATGCAATCCCAGAGCCAACCCTGTACTGTTCCTCAGATTCAAATATCAAAAAATTTTGCTCTTTACCTCCTGAAGGCAGGTTAATGTCATAGAGCAAAGAGCTTCTACCAGGAGCTACAGAATGCAGAGCTGGGCTCCAGTGAAAGGCAGCAAAATGACAACATGATGTTTCTGACTCTGTGACTGCACAGAGGCTGTTAGAAATTACATTGTTTTAGATCAGGAGAAACTGGCAGCGAATTGCTAATTTTGGGGACATGAATTATTAATTTCATATATTCAGTGATGTCAGTAATAAGACAGCATGAAAGGCACACTGGGGTGAACTTGGTAGGTAGTTTTTGTGTTTTAGTGAGAGAACTGAAATTTGTCTCAACATGCATTACATACATTGTGTGACTTGTAGAAAGCAAATGATGCTGTTGTTGAAAATAAAGAAAAGCCAATGCTTACAGGACTGATCTGTGCTGTAGTCATACTGTGACGCTGCTTATTCCACTGAAACTACTTAGGCTAAGTTCCATTCCTGGGGGCACAATGCTAGAGCCGCTCCTGGTACGTAAAGCTGCAGCTTGCTGGCTACATTTGGGTCCTCAGGCACCGTGCTGACTGCTTGTGCTCAGCGTCAGCGGAGGTGGATGCACCCTGTAATCCCGCATCCCATCATGGGCCCTCGTCCAGGGAGAAGCTGGCGCTCTGCTTCTGGAACCTGGACAGGCGGCGGCTGGGCAAGTCTGTGGGGGGCCAGAGCACAGTGGGACCCCCAGCCTGGCCACTGGGGGGCCCTTCAGGTCCTGCTGGAATAGACCCAGGAAGTAGGCGGCTGAGAGCTTCTGCAATGCTGTTGAGTGTCTGGTCCATGCGTGTGATCTGTGCAGGAACAGGACTGATGTATCAGCACCCCTGGCATTCTTTAAAAACAAGATATTATGTTATAATGTTTTATATAGAAGTTCGGAGCGTTTATGGAGGTGACCAGTGCTTAGTTTGGTCACTTCATGGATCTCTCTTAAGCAAGGTTCTGTAACATACACAAAGGCTGTTACCAGGAGACACCGGATACTAAGGACTTTCTCAATAAACAGGCCCACGGTTGTGCCAAAATAATCTGGGTGAACAAAATGACAGTAATTCACTGATGAATACATTTTATGTAATGCAATACTAATGACACTAACTACACTAATGATACACTAGACATTCATCTGTTGCTATGCATGTTATCAGTGTCTTCAACATAGCAAAGATATGTAGTATTTGCACATACAGTGGTACCTCAGTTCACGAACTCATTAGAACTCAAATTTCTTAAAAGTTGAAACAACCAGTTCGAAAAAAAATTACTTAGAACTCGATCTGAATCTGAAGATAACTTGTACGCACGGGGAAATGAGTCACGCGGCACGTCTCTCAGCGGAAAGGGTAAAGCTTCAGTCTCAGCCTCGCATTAGCTGTGACAGCACCCGTGCATGTTTACACTAACTGAATACATATATTTAGACAAAAAAAATACATTTAGACAATGATAGACAGTAACAGTAATTATTATTATATAATAAAATACATTTAAAAATAAAGATTTCTTATTCATTATTTTAATATTAATAATAAACCATTAATACATTTAATTATAATAATATCGTTGTGCCGAGCAGGGACGGAACGGAGACATAAGAACATAAGAACATAAGAACA